AGACAGCTGCTTAGAAGACTACTAAACAAAAATAGCATCAGACAATTATTATCTTGTGTTATATTTCTAAAATGTAGATTACTAATTTTGTTGTATTTTAAACAACCGTTTCTTTCACTTGTATAGTGCTCAATAACACTACGCTTTGTTGTAGTTGTCCTTGAAGTATTCAAACTATCTTTTTACACAGTAGTCAGATTGTAAATCAGACTACAGCTTCGAAGACAAATAAGTATGTTTGCATAAGACAACTACTATTCTGTGTTGTATTTGTAAAATGTAAACAACTCTATTTGTTGTATTTCACACAACTGTTTATTTCTATTGTCTAACATTTATTAACAGTACAGGTTTGTGTAGTTGTCCTTTAAAGATTTAGAAAGCTGTTTTAATACATTGTAAAGTTGTTTGAAAGACTATTATATTTAAATTCACATTTATATTTAATAAATATTTTCAATTCCAAAATATTGATCATGAAACAAAAATAAATTCTAAAATGTAGAATATATTGAATAATATCTAAATACATACAATCCAAATCTAAATAACATCCAATAATTTAATATTTATATGATTAAAATCACACTCTAGTTTTCCATTCAGCATTGCCTAATTTAGTTATTTGTCCCCTCAATAACATTTTTGAATACATTCCTTGCTCTAGCAACATTTTCTTGTAAAACATCCACTTTAGTCCTCAATCTGCATACCAATAAATAATTAAAATGAATGTTTGTTGATAACAAGAAAGAGTTCATAACAAAAATACTTGAAACTCTTTGGAGTTATTTGCTAGCTAAATACCTCCAAAGTAGTTCATATGCATTTATTTAACAATTGAAGTTCATAATTCAGCTTATAAATCAAGCAAAGCTGCAGATTTTTCTAAATAAAAAAAATTCAGTTTAGAATTTATTCAAAATCAACACTAAAAATTCAAAAATCAATATATAAACACAGTGTCATGCTTTAATTTGATGATGGTTTTCCGAACTATGCTTAACTAGTAGGTGTTCTTAGTCTCGAGTCCCCTTTGTAGACATTTTGTAACACACTATATAATATGTAGGTAATACATATGTCCATAACCATCAACCTTCATGTTTTCAACTTTTCACTTCTTTTAATCCAAAAGTCTAGTTAACTTATAGTATCTTGATTTAGAAGCATATACTATTTCCTAATCAATCATAATTCAGACTTTAGGTTTAACAAAACCTATTGATTGGTGAAAAGTGAGCAATCTCCGTCCAATTCAGCCTCGGGTTCTGGAAATTAAACATTGAAGAACCCATCGATCAAAACTGCACATAACAAAAAAAGAGGAATACCTTCTTTTCTCCAAGGAAGTTTCGGGTTTCAATGGGCTTAATTGACTTGTTTTCATTGATGATGGAGGCGTTGATGGAAAAGTGAGCGTAGACGATGCACATCTTGTGCCGGAAGCCATTTCAGTTTGATGTGCATCTTTTCCATTTGAATTAATCAATAGTCGTGTGACACTGATTTGGCATAGTGAATCTACTACCAACTCAAATTTAATCTGCACACTTTTTTTACCCCAACTATTGTCCACAAAGTTATATGAACTGCTGTAGAAAAATTCTGAGTAGACCGGTATTGAGAGCTCCAAGCAAATCACTCCAATTTTGGTGGGTTGGTTGGCAACAATCAAATCCCCTCCATTTCATAATTAGGCACTATCAAACCCCTTTAAGAGCATCTCCAACCATAGCAAAATGACTTGCTATATGTTATAATTTGACAAGCATATACAAAATTTCATGCTCCAAAGGGTTATTCAAAATTTGACTAGCTTGCTAAAAAATGAAAACACCTTGCTATTTATAACAAGCATGCTAGAATATAGCTAAACAAAAACTAATGTAAATTTCTTTTACAATGATATATACTGCACAAATACTCCATTTAACATTTTTTGTTTTTTCGATGTGAATGTGATTTTTACCGTAGGAAGAGTTCTTTGATTTATTTTATTTTAAATAGAAATATTTTATTTTATATTTTTTAATTACATACTTTTAGAGTATAAATAACTTTTTCTGGGACATAACCACAAGTCTGAGATTTTGGTTGAATCGGTTCTTTGACACATGATTGAATAATAATGAGATAGGAGTATACAATATATAGAGATATGAAAACCCTAATTAACCTATTAGGCTTGGGCCCATACTACAACCTAAATATGATTACCTATATAATATTCCCTCCGTCCCGGAAAACATGTATGAGAGTTTTGATTTTGAAGGGGGATTTAAGGGGAGTGTATTTTGGTATTGAATTTCCAAAAATGTCTTGATAGATAGATTATTAGTAAAAAGGTATGATGTGATAGGTAGGGTAAGAAAAAGTAAGGGGTAAAAGTAACTTTTTAATAGAAATGAGAAGTGTTTTTTGGGACGGATGAAAAAAGAAAGGAGAAAGGTACAATGATTAACTATATATAATCATTGTACTACATTGTAATAGAGTCAATAGCATTCAATATATATATATATATATATATATATATATATATATATATATATATATATATATATATATATATATATATATATATATATATATATATATATATATATATATATAAAATCATTGTAGTGGGCTAGTGGCTGGACGTTCCTTGGTTGGTGGAGGCGGCCGGTATTGAGTACATGGTATAAATCCGAGAGGGAAGGAATTGAATATTCCGTGAGGAGAGAGAGATGGATTATAGTATATAAGAAAAGGTGGAAATATTAACTAATAACCAGAGTTCATTATGCAGCGCGCATGCATAACAAACGACAAACGAACATTCAATGACATGGTCTGTCTGTCTGTCTTGTCTTAATAACTTGTACAACATACATGCATGTAAAGGAAATGATATGCTAGATCATATCAAAGAATACGGCACCCATCATCATAATTATTAGTATCATAGGCATTGTGGCCATTAGTATATGTTTGGTAACACGAGTGGGGATCTTGGGGAGGGTTGTAGTAGCCATTATTATATGTTTGAGTAGGGCAGTAGTGCATGCCAGGAGCAGGAGGAGGAGGAGCCGCCTGAACAGGAGCCGGATTAGCTGGTTTCTTTTCTCCTCCTCCTCCTTCCTTTTTCTTAGCCTCTTCCTTTTTATTTGGACCCACCGAAACAATTGTTGTGCAGTCTTTTAAGCGTTTCACCTTAAACAACGCTTTCAAAACATCCACTACATTTGCACTACCTGTAACGGTTAGCAGTTTCTTTTCTGCTGGCTCTATCAAGATGGAATCCAATCCCTCAACCTCTCCCAGGTTTCGCATCACTCTTCCGCGTACGTCTGGCATGCCCATATTCTCCGATTTCACAATTATCTGTGCTTCCAATCCCCCATGCAAAAACAAGTTAGTTATTCCAATCATTTTTTTAAAAAAAAATAAAAAATTCAAAATGATTATTAGAAAATAATAAATTTTTGTCGTGTTTAACTTTCTCTTAGTCGATTGTTTTAAAATTTAACCTCTGATGAAAAAACACATTGTGTCATTATAAACCAAGATAATGAAAAACACATTGTGTCATGCAAATACATATTAATACAATAAAATTAAATGTTGAAAGTTTTCAACAAGATAAACCAAATTAAATGTTTTTTCTACAAATATACATTACAATTTTTTTAATTGAGTTTCAAAGTTTATCTAATTTGACTCAAAAGATCAACCTCGATGCAATTTTAAAATAACATAATTTTATGATATACCCTATATATTTATAAATAAATAAATAAATAAAGTTATTAATGATCAAAATACTATCCAAAATAACAAGAAAATTATAGGATAGATGGAGTAAACAATATGACTAATAGTGAAACAAAAAAATCACCACCCGAAATTGGAGCAAAACATAGAACAAATCTCCAAAACAGGATCGACATTTTTCGGGAGAGTGTATCTGATAGTTCAATTTCTAAGTTTACCCTGGGAGGTGATGCATAAAAAAAGATGTGATGCATATAGATAGATAGATTATTAATGAATAGACATTATGTGATATGTAAATTATTAATTCATAGGGGTAAAATAGTGTAGTCATGCTATTTCTTGTTTCGTAAGTTTCTTTTGTATACTTTATTAAATACTACCTCCGTTCCTTTAAACCTTTCCACTTTTGACTTTAGGCAAAAATAAAGAAATTGCAATTTTCATTGATTTTCCAATTTTGCCTCTGATGTGATGGATAAAAAAGTAAGATGTGATAGTTTGGTTATTAGTGAAAAAGTATGATGTGATAGGTAGGGTATGAAAAAGTAAGGGTAAAAGTGGTTTTTTAATATAAAGTGGAAGTGTTTTAGGGAATTCAAAAATACTGTTACGCATTCAGTGTTTTAGGGAATTCAAAAAGTGGAAGTGTTTTAGGGGGAAGATTTTATAGAACGGAGGGAGTATGTAATTTTATTTTTTAATTCCATACTAATTATCAAATGAATTAAATTGAAAAATAATGTCAATCATAACTCTTAACGCGCACGAGAAAGATTATCTGTGGCTAGACCGCTAGAGAGAGCAATATAATTATATTTTAATTCAAAACATAATTTAATCATAATTTTAGAAATAAATTGTATAATTGATCCTTTATAACATGGAACCCTGTTACGCATGGGTTGCATGGGTCTCGGAAGGAGACCTCCAGTGAGCGGGACAAGCCAATGGGCCGGGCCAGGGCTAAACAGACCGAAGTGGAAAGGAGTTCGGGCCGAGAGGGTCGAAGGCAGACACGAGAGTCGCGGACGAGGAAAGTGCCGGGATGGCACGACGATTATGTTTTAAAGTAAATTAATATATTTTCATGTAATAGATTTTCTTAGGTAGACGAATTATAAGTCCCTTCAAGGGTTTTCTTTTCAGTTCTTTCCCTTGACGCCTTTTTTGAACCGACAGGGTAGACTAGGATTAGGGTTTCCAACAACTATAAATAGAGGATGTACTCTCCTTGTTTCATCATCACATAATCAAAACCCTAATTTCCTATTTGGAGTTCGAAGGCACTCGAAGCCCTTCTTCCCTATTACGTATCAAAGTGCTCTCATTGAGAGTCATGACAGACGCATCATCCACCACGAACGAACTCGACGCTAGGGTTCGCGAGATGGGACACGCCATGGTGCAGATGCAGAGGGATTTGGAGTTCTGGTTCGAGCAGCTTGACGTAGCTCTGGCCACCAACCAGACTGCCGTCGTCGGCATCCAGGCAGGGGGCGGCGGACGAGTAGGACGGCACCTGGAGCACCACGACAGAGGCAGGGGATTTCACGCACCGAAGCTCAAGCTCGAGCCACCCAAGAGTGACGGCGCGGAACCCTTGCGTTGGTTATACTAGGTACAAGAGTATTTTTCCTACTACGAAACACCGTCGGAGGAGAGGTTACGATGTGTAATGATGATGCTCGAAGGGCCAGCAGCCAATTGGTTTCGATGGCGGCGGAACAACGGCCTAATTGCGGACTGGGATGACTTCGTATGGAAATTCAAGCTACGGTTCGATCCGCTTCATTATGTGGACTACGTGGGTCAATTAGCTCGGGTCCGACAGGTAGGAGGAGTCATAGAGTATCAGGCCGCCTTCGAGAAGGTTCACACCCACATCACCGATGTTCCCGAGCCCTATCTTCAATCATTATTTCATGCAGGTTTGAAGAACCACATCCAACACGAGATCAGTTTACTCAAACCTGAGACATTATCAGAGTCCTTTGCATTGGCCCGGGAATTGGAGGCAAAACACCAAGCCATCGTACATTCGGTAGGGTTGAAGAGTTTGTCATGGGGTACCAACTTCAACCGCGGCAACCCTAGCCGGGCCGTATCGAAAGGGTCAGTGACCAAGCCAGCCCAGTTGGGCAGCGGGGTCAAAACTTTGTCTGAGGGGCGTGAGTCCTCCAACACACCTGCCATCAGGCGCCTCACCAGAGTTGAGCGTTTGGAAAAGGACGCTAAGGGTTTATGCTATAATTGCGACCAAAAGTGGCACAAGGGACATAAATGTGGGCGGTTCATTCTGATCATGGGTAAAGACGAAGGGGAGGAGGATGAGGCCGAGGAAAAAGAAGAAATTGAAGTCGCTGCCGACATCTTGAGTTTGAACAGTATGGCGGGGGTCACCACTCCTCGATCCCTGCGACTCACGGGCAAGATTGGGCAACATGGGCTGGATGTTTTAATCGATGGTGGGAGCACGCACAATTTCGTGCACCCCCGCATGGTGGAAAAATTAGGGCTGAGCCTGGAGAGAGTGGCGGCGTTCCGGGTATACGTCGGCAGCGGAGACGCTTTATGCTGCACCCAACAATGCCGTAACGTCGCCCTAGAGTTGCAAGGAACAACATTTACAGTGGATCTTTACGTCCTCCAGATCCACGGGCATGATGTGGTCCTGGGCGTCCAATGGTTGAGGGGTCTGGGGGGAGTCCTACATGACTACGAAAAGGTGACGATAGAGTTTGCCTGGGGAGAACAGACGGTGGCACTACGGGGGGATGCTTTGGTCCCTAAGCAAACATCCTTACACCATTTACGGGCCTTGCATGTGCGGCACGAGGTAGACGTCGGGATCCTCCTCACGGTTACCCAAGCCGAAGACACGGGGGAGAAAGTGTCTGGCGCAACACAAGAGGGGCTGCCGAAGGGGATCACAGCGCTCCTGGAGCGTTTTGACGAGGTGTTTAAGGAACCCCAGGGGCTGCCTCCACACCGTATCACTGATCACAGGATCTACTTGCAACCCGGCGTGGCCCTGGTGAATGTACGGGCCTACCGGTATCCGCACTTCCAAAAAGAGGAAATCGAGCGACAGGTGAAGCAAATGCTCGAACAGGGGATCATTCGCCCGAGTCGGAGTCCTTTCTCATCGCCGGTGCTACTGGTGCGAAAGAAGGAGGGGACGTACCGATTTTGTGTGGATTATCGCGCCTTGAACACGCTGACAGTCCCCGATCACTTTCCCATCCCTACGGCCGACGAACTGTTTAACGAACTTGGCAAGGCGCGAGTGTTCACCAAATTGGACTTGCGATCAGGGTACCACCAAATCCGGATGAATGATCGAGATATACACAAGACTGCCTTCCGGACGCACGAGGGACATTACGAGTTTTTGGTCATGCCGTTCGGCCTCACCAATGCCCCATTAACTTTCCAAGCTTGTATGAACCAATTATTTGCCTCTTATCTTCGGCGCTTCCTGATCGTATTCTTTGACGACATATTAGTCTATAGCCCATCTATGGAGGAACATCAACAACACTTAGAGCAGGTATTCTCCCTCCTCCGCAATAGCCAGTTCTACATCAAACGTTCGAAGTGTACATTTGGGGTGGAACAGGTTGAGTATTTGGGGCACATCGTCACAAGTGGGGTTTTGAAAGCCGATAGAACCAAAATATCGGCCATGGAGCAGTGGCCCCGGCCGAGCACCCTATGGCAGTTAAGGGGTTTCCTTGGCCTCACCGGGTATTACAGAAGGTTTGTTCGCCACTACGCCCAGATAGCCGCACCACTCACCGACTTGCTTAAGAAGGACACTTTTGTGTGGACCGAGAAGGCCGACGTTGCATTTGAGAAATTGAAAACAGCCATGACGACGGCCCCGGTCTTGCGGTTACCAGATTTTTCTGAGAAATTTGTGGTGGAAACGGACGCCTCCGGAACCGGGGTGGGGCGGTGTTACTTCAATAGGAGCAACCCGTCGCTTATTTCAGTAAGAAATTGAGTCCCAAGCGAATGGCAACATCCACATACCACAAGGAGCTCTACGCTATCGTAGAGGCGATACAACGTTGGCGGCAGTATCTATTTGGACGAGAATTTTTAATCCGCACAGACCACCAGAGCCTGCGGGAGTTATTACAGCAGGTGGTCCAAATATTGGACCAACATTTTTACATCCGTAAACTTTTGGGGTATCAATTCAAAATTGAGTACAAGCCGGGGGCCGCCAACCGAGTCGCAAATGCCCTTTCACGGCGGGATGAGGCTGAACAAGATGGGCAGTAGTTAATGGAGGAGATCCGACGAGAAAATACTACCCAACTGGATCTGGTCGCGCGCCACCAGGAGCATGCTGAGGGGAGGCTGGCCAAACCCTTGCAGTTGTGGCGGGAATGCTTTACTACAAACGACGAATCTGTATAGGGTCGTCCTCGGACTTTCGCCACCAACTCATCCGGGAACACCACGACACACCATTAGCAAGGCATCTGGGTACTCACCGAACCTTCGTACGGCTTGCACAGGAGTTTTACTTGCCGCAAATGAGGGCCAATGTCAAGACCTACGTGTGGCAATGTCATACATGTCAGACAACAAAATACTCCACCCAGCCCCCTGCCGGGTTGTTGCAGCCCCTGCCAGTGCCATGTCAAGTGTGGGAAGACATATCCATGGATTTTATAGTAGGCCTTCCACCATCGCGGGGCTATACAGTCATAATGGTCGTAGTGGATCGATTGACAAAGGTGGTTCATTTTGGGGCATTACCCGTGGGGTTCAACGCTCATCGCACGGCCCACTTGTTCATTGATATTGTGGTGAAACTTCACGGGTTCCCCAAGACAATTGTATCAGATCGAGATCGGGTTTTCCTTAGCAATTTTTGGTGAGAAGCCTTGAAGGCCAGCGGAACAACATTGACAATGAGTATGGCGTTTCACCCCCAAACCGATGGGCAAACGGAAGTCATGAACCAGGCGGTAGAGCAGTACTTGAGGGCGTTTGCACAAGACAAACCCTCTCGCTGGACGGTCCTCCTACCATGGGCCGAATACGCTCTGAACACAAGCGTGCACTCCGTCTTAAAGAGGACTCCGTTCGAAGCCTTGTATGGGCGACCACCGCCGACATTTCTCCCGTACCGCTGGGGAGATAGCAAGGTGCCAGAGGTGGATAATTTTTTGCACGAGCGGGATTCCTTACTCCGGCGCTTGCGGGAAAACTTAAAAGAGGCACAACGACGAATGACTCAAACAGAGGATAAGCACCGAACGGATTTACAGTTCAAAGAAGGGGATTGGGTACTGTTGAAACTGCAGCCATACCGCCAGCATTCTGTGGTTCGTCGGAGTTCATAGAAATTATCAAGGCGATACTATGGGCCTTATCGAGTGCTAGCACGGATTGGAGAGACGGCCTATTGCCTGTAATTGCCTCCGGGTTCACGCGTTCACCCCGTATTCCATGTATCCTTTGTGCGGCTGTACTATGGAGAGTCACCGGAGCAAGAAAAACTCGAGTTACCATTGGAGTTCGTGCATGGGCAGCCCCTATCGGAACCAGCGCGGATCCTCTCCGAGCGATAGGCCTTGGTACACGGAAGGCCGGAAAAACAATGTCTGGTGGAATGGACCAATGGGGGTCGAGACGACGCCACTTGGGAACTGTATGACCGACTTCGCTAACGGTTTTCTGCATTACACCTTGAGGACAAGGTGGTTTCGCAAGCGGAAGGGATTGTTACGCATGGGTTGCATGGTTCTCGGAAGGAGACCTCCAGTGAGCGGGACAAGCCAATGGGCCGGGCCAGGGCTAAACAGACCGAAGGGGAAAGGAGTTCGGGCCGAGAGGGTCGAAGGCAGACACGAGAGCTGCGGACGAGGAAAGCGCCGGGATGGCACGACGATTATGTTTTAAAGTAAATTAATATATTTTCATGTAATAGGTTTTCTTAGGTGGACGAATTATAAGTCCCTTCAAGGGTTTTCTTTTCGGTTCTTTCCCTTGACGCCTTTTTTGAACCGATAGGGTAGACTAGGATTAGGATTTCCAACAACTATAAATAGAGGATGTACTCTCCTTGTTTCATCATCACATAATCAAAATCCTAATTTCCTATTTGGAGTTCGAAGGCACTCGAAGCCCTTCTTCCCTATTACGTATCACACCCCTTATAACATACTCCCTCTGTCCCAGAAAACATGTGAGTTTGATTTTGAAGAGGGATTTAAGGGGAGTGTATTTTTGTATTGAATTTCCAATTATATTCTTTAATGTGATGGGTAAAAGTATGATTTGATGGATAGATTATTAGTAAAAAGGTATGATATGATAGGTAGGGTATAAAAAAGTAAGAGGTAAAAATGATTTTTTAATGGAAATGAGAAGTGTTTTTTGGAACAGATGAAACAAGAAAAGAGATAGATTTTCAGGGGAGAGGGAGTAGTATTTTCCTTATTTAGGGGCTGTTTGTTTCAGCCTCTTAATGGTTCAGATGTCTGAATGATTCAGCACTTAATGGTTCAGACTGTTTGTTTCAGCCTCTTAATGGTTCAGATGTCTGAATGGTTAAGAGATTTGCCTCTGAATGGTTAAGTATTATACAGAGTCTGAATGGTTAAGAACTGTTATCTGAATTGATCAGACATTTGCCTCTGAATAGTTAAGCAATATACTAGCTCTTAATGGTTCAGACCTCTAACTGGTTCAGCACTTAATGATTCAGACCTCTTACTCGTTCAGCACTTACCCATTCAGAAGTTGCCAAACAGTCCCTTAGTCTTTTAATAACAAATAGTATCAGCGGAGTGGGAGGTACGAGTAGTTTATGGAGGGAGAGAGTACGTACCTTTTTCTTATCATCGTTTCCTTGGTCCTTCTTCTCCACAGGTTTATTATTCATGGGTTTGGAACTCTGAAAAACGAAATTACCTTGTAACCCCTTTTTTATGTTCATCGTGTCTCTAATTTTACTCGTCTCATGTGCTTCCGTGATTAAAAGCAGCTTCTCATCGTCTTCCATAGAAATGGAGTGCACACCCTTAATGCCGGCTAAGATGGACATAACATTCTCAGATTGATCGCCTCCTCCCATCTTATACTCCAGATTCTGCATCCATTGATCGAGTAATTACCAAATAGATTAGACAAGGTACCTATTATAAATACTATGCGTACGGAGTAGAAGATGATATATATATATATATATATATATATATATATATATATATATATATATATATATATATATATTTCTGGTTAAAACTAAAATTTTTAATCAAACGTGTGATAAAAATGATAAATAAAAAAGATAAAAATTTGACCCCATGTATAATTTAAAAGAGGATGGAATATTTTATTATTCATATTCTAATAAAATAGTTATATATGGAATATTTTATAATAATATTGTATTTAATTAGTTTAAAAAAGGGGCGAAGTCCCGTCATTGTAAAGGATCGGAATTCAAGTGAATATACTAGCTCCTACTTCGCATTCTTTCTCTCTAAACATTACTCAATTAGCTTATTAGACAAGATCTTCGGTTGTTTATTAGCATCAAAATGAGGATAATTTTATGTTGACTTTTCAAAAGTACCTTTTATATGATGGATAAAAGTAAGATGTCATGTGTAGAATATTAGTAAAAAGATATGATGTGAAAGGTAGAGAATGAAAAAGCAATGAATAAAAGTGGTATTTTCATAGAAATGGTAAGGAGTTTGTAGGAGACCATGTTTTTGAAACGTGAAGCAGCTTTTGAGAGAGAGGGAGTATGTATGGATGTATGTGTGTATGTATGTAGGGGCGCGCACGTACATAAAACTGGGGACCCTTGTTGCTTTTCTTGTCATCAGGTTTTGCCGCCGTATCCTTCTTCTTCTCCTCTTCTTTCTTGTCCGCTGGTTGTTTCGGTTTGGAAAAGGGAGACACACTAGACACGGTAAAGCGGATATTAAGAGGATCCGGAGCTACTAAATTCAATAAACTGCGGACGACTACATTAGCCTGCCCTCGAAATCTCATCACGATCACTTCCTTATTAGAGTCGTCGGCAATCGCGATGAACTTTACCCCGCCTTTACTCGTGATTTTTCCCATAGCGCTTCGCTTCACTGTTTCTGATTGGCCTTCCTCGCAATGTACTTTCAGCACAACTTCCTGTCGTACGTCCCACATGCGATCCAATCAAATTATAGACGAAAGGTATGTAATCAATGATATCATCTAATTAAACGTACCCCGCCCGCCCCGGCCCCCAAAAAAACGGGGTGGGGTCAGGGGAAGAGTTTTCGTGCATACCTGGATTCCGCCGACAACATTATTCGTGTTCTCATTCTTTACAACATACGTAGTCGGTTCTTCAGTAGGAGAATCAAGTTCAAACCCGAATGAGCGACGTAGATTAGATTCAATAGTCACTCCGGTCCAACGGACGTTCGAGTTTGGAAATGTCGTAATTGTTACTTTATCCTTTTCAACCGCCACGTAATTCACTTCATTAAATGCTTTTGTGTTTGTGACCGTTCTCATAATTTTACTCTGCGCATTTTCCACATTGCCCATGTTCTTCACCGGCAGCACTACTTTCTGTCACACGTTGAACGTTACCAAAATAGGCAAAAAAAACTATATTATGATACTGAATGTTTTTATCATGCACTTAAATCACACTCATTACCAAAAAAGGTTAAAAGAAAACTATATTATCAAAATAGTTGTCAAGAACTAACTCAACTAAAAACACAAACTTATAATTCTGACCCAAAAAATGTTTCTTATATTTTAACATGCCCCCTCACGTGCAGGCGTTGTCTTTTTTCGAGACTTACATATGAAACTTTATTTTTTTTAACTGGGTGGCGTTAGGTTTTAAATCTGTGACATCTTAGTCAACAAGGCTCCGATACCATTTCAGGGAACCAACTCAACCAAAAATTCAAGCTTGTAGTTGTGGCTCCTAATTATTTTTCTTTGTCCAATATAACTTCAAACCGTTTCTTGTGTGAAAAATGGTGAGTTTTAAAATTTAAAAATTTTGATATTTCTCCCTCCATTTTTTAAAATAGTTCTTTCTTTTATCTTTTCGTTTTTCCCAAAACACTTCCATTATATTTTTGTAAAATTTGACTGATATATCTAAATTAAGTTCTTGCAATATACTCCATTCAATTTGCATTGATAAAATAAGTCATTTAAATGATTTGTCTCTATATTTTCTTCGATAAGAAAAGATAATTAGAAGATCAAACTATAAAAATAAATCTCTCTAAAGCCAAAACAGGAATCATTTTAGGAAATGGATGAAGTATTTTATAATTTTTAATTTTCTATCCTACATATTATATCTTAGCCTATTACAAATTGAAGACAAAATTAAAATATAATACCCTAATTAGATGTTTAAAAGATCATCTTTTTTTAACCGAAATTGTTTTTAATAACTGAAAAAGTATAATAGACTACGTCTAAATAGTGATTTTTTTGGGGAATTCAGCTAAATAGTACTAAAACATAATGATTTTTCCAATGTAGTTACATAAGTTTTTATTTCCCGACCCGTATCCAAAAATAAATAAAAATAATTTATGCTGACTACCTAAAAGTTTATACTTTTTTGAAAATATGTGTGTTGCCTAATTATTTAAGTACCATACTCTCTATTTGTTAGACATTCACTGTATGTTAACTTTTAATAATAGCAGAAATAATAGAATAAAAAATAGAAAGTGGGAAATAGTATATGCATAATGATATTAAAAAGTTGATGGAAAAGTGAAAAAACACAATTAAAATTTTAATAATATAATACTCCCTCCGTCCCGGAAAACATGGGTGTTCGACATGTTAGCTCTTGACTTACTCCCTCGTCTTAGTCGACGTTTGGTCTAGTTTACAGAACATTGATCTATATACGTGCATTAATCTCATGAATCAAAATTCATAACATCCTGTAGTGACGTGGTAAAAAAAGGGAAATTTACTTATATAGCACTAAATGTAGATATTTTCTCAATATACTATTGAATATAATGTTTTAAATTTCCCAAGTAGTACTTAATTAATATAATTATTAATTATTAAATATTATTCCAAATTCACAAAAATATCTCTCGCCCGTCACTATTGTTTGCATTTTAGAATTGGCTCCCTCTCCCGCGCCCATACCGCCATATCTAGCCTTCAATATATGGGCTTACATACTATAATTAAATTCCAATTAGGCAATAAAAACTTTTAGGAACTATATTAGGAAGAGATATATGTTTAATATCCTGGCTTCGTTTGGTAACAGCGTTTTCAATTAGCGTTAGCGTTTTGGATAAAATTTTAATGGTGTAGATTAAATCTAAAAACGCTAACGCTGATGCCAAACGGGGCCCCTGTATTATTTAGTGGAAATTTGACAACAACAAAAAAAAACAATTACTTCCTACTTCGTATAATAAGTAAGACTCTCAAGTTTCAATGATATATACTCCGTAAAGTACAAGATATGGGATGACACACACCTTCTGCTCCAGGCCCATACTCGGTATTTGATCAAAGAGTGGAGATGAAATGCATTAAGAGGATCGGGGCATGCAAGTCAATTGTGATAATTAAGGAACGATGATGCGGTTGGCATCTGGTGAGTGGATCGGAGGCCGGCCTTCATTTATACCTAAAGAAGCCGAGACCAATTCCTACCAGCCATTTTTTTTTTAAAGGGCCACTTTTTAAACTTCAAAGGGACTTTTTTTTTAAAAAATAAAAAAATAAAAAAAAAAGGTTTGGGGAAGATAACAAATAGAGAAGGAAAAAATGGAAAGGAATGAAGTTGAAGAATTTTTTTTTTACTCCGTAGATGATGTTTGATTGAATGGAAATTTAAAGAAAAAGAAATGGAGGAAAACCCATTCTGATTTTCAGCACAAACAAACACGCCGTATGGATTGTTGGTGTTTTTCTTTGCTTGCTGGCTACGGCTGTTTGGAAAGCTAGTGTATTTCACCTTTCCTACCCCCCTTTTCTAGCTCCGTCTGCTTTGCTCCAGTTTTTGCGTTAATTGTCCCCTCTTTTTTTCCCCTTAGTCTCCCACTCTTTTTTGAGTCGTGTATACTTCGGGTTCCGTAGATGATACGGAGTGCTATTTATTTCCATGAATGTTCCTCCTAAACACAATGAAATACTCCCTCCGTCCCTAAATAAACTTCCATTTTTGACTTTTTGAGGATTTAAGGGAGGGATATTTTTGTGTTGACTTTCCAAAAATACCCTTGATGTGATATGTAAAAGTAAGATGTCATAGGTAGATAGATTATTAGTAAAAAGGTATGATGTGATAGGTAGGGTATGAAAAAGTAAATGGTAAAAGGGGGTTTTTAAGAGAAAAGAGAAGTTTATTTGGG